TTAACACTGCTCCTTCCCAGGACTTGAGTGTTGGCACCGTTTCCATTAGCCACACCGCGCTGTCTGCGTAGGTGACCTCAAAATATCCCGGCCTGTGGCTGCATTTTTGAAAACGCACTTGTGGGCCATTTTCAGGGATATTCTCGTGCGCCGCCGAGATCGCTGCTTGGACTTGTTCCATTTTCTCGGTCGTCATCTGGGCTTTCGGGTAGCCTACATTGACGTCCGCAACTTTCTCGCTGCTCGCCGCATCCTTGTACGACTAACTTGTCGTGGTAGCCGGGATCTGCCCACCTCTTGGCTTTTTAGTTTGCCTCATTTGGGGTGTGTTGTCCTCCGACCTAGGGTACCTCGGGGATGCCAGGTCCCGTATTCACCAGATGTGAGCCCCTGCGGCTTTGTTGAGCTGTCCTTAGCAACGACTAGCCTGTGAGCCTGCCAGTCGCTGGGCCCTGCCAGTCGCTGGGCCCCGCCACCAACGTCCAGGTCTCACAGCTCCTCGGAAGGATGAAAAGACATAGTTATAATGAACGAGACAGTGTATATACAAGAATCGAGACCAAAGTCATAAACTATAGAAAAGCAAATTCAATTTTTGTTCCAGATCAATACGCTGTTATAATTAGAAGAGCAAGAAAACATGGAAAAACTATGAACTTAATGAATTATGTTTCAAAGATCTAATTGATTTGAAATAATTGGCATCAGCTTTACATCAATATCGCAAAAAACGGCAAACTTACCAATTTGCGAATAATTAGGTTACAAAAATCTGATCCAAAAACCCTGTTTTATAAGTACTCTTATGGCGAAGAAAGCTTCAATTATAATAAATATTCATTAAAGCAAAACCCACCAATCTGTTTTCTTCCATATTATTTCTTGAAGGGTAGGGGGAGTTGGGGCACATTGGCATACTTTTAATAATAAATTAAAGTGTGAGTGACAAAATTAGTTAAAAAAAAAAAAACTTGCTAATGCATACATAATTTAATGTAGTTTATTGATATCCTATAGTTTTTTAACATATTTAGAGAAAATTTTAAAATATCCAACATGTGGCACATTGGTATAAGGCATGGGGTACATTAGTATAGGTTCTTTATATTTAGGATGACGTCATCGGACAAGGACAGACAATGTTGCCAATGTCTATTTTTTGTCTTATAATTTATAATATAATTCTGATCACAGCTAAAAATAACGAAATGAAAATGTTTATACAGTCATGCAACGTTGCGCGCCCTTTCCAAACGAAAAACATCTGGAAGTTCCCTACTTTAAATGTGTTGAAAAGTACTTTTAGTTTTGTAAGGTTGGCAGCAGAAATTCATAAATGTGACGTCATCCTAAATATAGCGTAAAAATCCTATACACCATGCGGTACATATTAGTTTTGAATATCTAACATAGATTAAATAATTGAATGATATATTCAGGCCTATGATGTATCATTTTCTGTTATTTTAACAGCAACGTTAAGTTATCTGTCACTGTTTATTCTACACGTAAAAATAGAGACAGGTATAGATCTCGAGCTATAACACAACTGTTAAAATAAAATAACAGGAGATGATACATCATAGGCCTGATTATATGCTTGGAGTTTTTATTAAAACTTGAAACACAACAAACTAATTACAAAATAATTATAGTGTCACTTGTTTTAAAAATAAAATAAAAATAACTTAATAGGTTCAACGTAATTTATTGAGTTCACTAAACGTTAAAGGAACTAAAGTCAAAAACAAAACTGAACATCGAAGCAGTCCTACTTTTTGCTTTACTCACGCTAGGATTCGGCATTTTGATAATAATGTCCGAAATGTCCACCTAGATTCATCTTCTACATTTGGGTAAACAGAAACCCAGGGTGCTGGCTTTTTTCTTGGGAAAGATATTCCAAACTCAGACATTCCATTTTTTGGAACCACCTTTCCTACGAGCCGCAGGAGTTGTCGGGAAAATTATTATATGATCAAAAATTATATTAAAGACAGAGAAAAACAGCCATTGATTACCTCGATACTCGATGAAGAGCACCGCAGCAGGATTGAGTTGGACCGTCCTTGTGAGTTAAGCCCACTGGCAGGATGTCTCGCGACACGCCAGTTAACACCGCGGATGATGAACCAGCGGCCCGAGACATAAATTAATCTACGAGTTTTTTAACCACAACAACTTTAATATACTCTATTGGAGCTGGAATTATCGCTTGCCCTCCAATTGATCCCTGTTAAAGGGTTTAGAGTGTACTCATTCCGATTACGGGGCCTCGGATAAGTCTCGTATCGTTATTTTTCGTCACTACCTCCTCGTGCCGGGAGTGGGTAGTTTGCGCACCTGCTACCTTCCTTAGATGTAGTAGCCGTTTCTCAGGCTCCCGCTCCGAAATCGAACCCTGATTGCCCATTACCCGTTACAACCATGGTAGGCGCAGAACCTACCATCGACAGTTGATAAGGCAGACATTTGAAAGATGTCTCGCCGGTGCGATGACCGTGTGATCAGCGTAAAGTTATTCAGAGTCACCAATTTGTACGATGACGAGTAAGCAGAGCCAAATCAAGAATTATAGGCGCAAAGAGGATTGCGTATTATTGTCAAGCGTTGAGACCCTTGTTTCGTCACTACAGATGCGCGCTTCTCTTTTGTTATTATTGTGTTTATTTTCGTTATTTATACATTTGTGTCCTGTACTTTTTGAAGTGAAACTTCTTAAGGTGCGTATAGACTCGGCCAATGAATGGGTTCGTTCGAAAAATTTCTGTTCGATATGGACGTATTGCCACTATCAGTAATGACCAAATCTAGGCGATGGGCAACACAATGAACGTACACTGTACTCCGCTCATTTTTCCGCACATTGCTGCCGCCTCATCGTACCCCTGTGCTCTTATGTCAGCCGCTTTTAAATCTAAACTGTCAAGCTTTAATATTACCTGATTGGCTAATGCTTCTTTAGTAGCAGCAGTAAGCGAAACGCAGCAAAGAAAATCTTCACAAATTTCAAATTCTGTATCATTAATGTATCTAACACGAATCGATAATTGTTGGATAGAAGAAATATTGGTCGTCTCATCTGCTAGAACACTGAAAAATTCAGCAGCTTTTACTTTTTTTATAATATTTTTCAGGATCATATTAGGTACCACAACATTCGATCAACCCATTTTGTATCCTCTTTCCAGTGTACAAGGCGTTTTTCGAGAACTTTTTAAGTGATTTTTCAAAAATAAATCACCAGCATCGAAACGCTGCCGCAACATTGCTCTAAAGTTGCCTTCATTATTCTTTGGAATTTTTTCTAAGATTATTGGTCTGAAGTCTCGATGTCCTCTCAAAGCCAGGCCTTGCTTTCCACAGGGAATAATAATTTTTGATATTGGTACTAGTATTTTCTTATTTTCCATGCATTCTTCCTGTTCCTCTTTTTTCAACTGTCTGTCCACTGCTAGGCACTTTCCTGCTCTAAAGTTTTTGCGCGAAGTAATGACTTACCTTGATATTTTGTGGTATTATGACTCCCACTTATTATATTCATTTTGAATTAAATAACCAAGCGTCTGACTTTTGCTATGATCAACATTTTAATTGGCAAATAATACGCTATATTTACAATAAGCCGCATTCTCTAATTTGGAGTATAGGTAACGGTATCACAAAGGTGTTGACTCAATTGGTACCATTCCGCCGGGGAGTGTTTCAGGGAGATTTCCTCAGCCCACTCCTCTTTTGTGTCTCGCTACTTCCGCTGTCCGTTGCTCCGCGGAACACAAAGGGATACATGTGCGGTGCTCCCGGCTGTAGAACGCATAGGGTTACTCACCTCTTTTATATGGAGGACCTCAAGTTCTACGCGTCGACGAAGAGAGATCTCGACCAAGCTCTTCGGGTAGTACAGAAGTATACTCATACGATCGGGATGGAGTTCGGGTTGGATAAGTGTGCGACGTTTGAACTTAAGAAAGGGCGCCATGCGAACCACTCCGACGACGCGCAACTCGTAGATGGGAGCATCCTATGATATCTGGATGCCGAAGAAACCTATACCGACCTGGGTGTGTCCTCAAGGACTCATCCAGGATATTGTCGCAAGAAAAGGGTCTCTCCGCGACAAGTATCAGCAGCGATTGAGACAAATCTGTTCACACGTGTGAGGGTTTAAGGCCGTTTTTCTCATTTTCGGAAACAATTCAAATTTTTCGTACAACTAATGTTCTTGCACCGATTTCATGGACATATATGGTTTCCTTCCTGTTTCAAAAAGGATCGGTGCTCGCATCGCATAAAAAATAAGGAATTTATTCAAATCTGTGCATAGTGTAAATAGTTTGCCGAAGGTGCCAGAAACCTAAAATTATTACAGATAGGGTAGCATGGGGTTAACTGAACCATCTATTGGATATTTTCAAGTTTATATTCCTTACCTTGCTCTACTTCCAAACTCCACTCAGCTGGCCAGCTCATTCAGGTAGTTCAGGTCCCATGCGTAGGAGCGCAACGAAACCGTCCTGATGTCACCGGTCGCGGCGAACGAAAAAACCGCGGGTTTATTTTCTCGAACCACACGAAGCGGGCGAAGTGTTTTTGGCAACTGGTTTACTTGTCGGCATGAAGTGTAAGGACTTTGCCGGTACGCATTTTTAGAAGCCAAACTTATCATTCTTAGACATAGAGCACGCGCAATTCAATTAGAATAAGAGAAAAACAAAAAATAAAGAAAAATTAATCAATTTCCATTCTCAAATAGGATTTAACATCCTAGATACCCAATTTAACCTACAACTATATACAGAGCGCGTAGACGAAACTGAACACACACGGTTCATCAAAGTAAGACCCAATTTACTAATTTTCTACGTGTCTGCAAATGTGAAATTAAAATCACTGAAATCAACGGAAAAGGATGTCATGTTTGCAATGCGAGCGCTGCTGCTTTATAGAAAGCAGCCTCCAATAGTGGAGGTGGTAATTTTAAAACAACATCTTCTTTGGATACGAACCCCATTTCATTTTCATCTATTTATTTGTTGACCGAGTTATAACGTTTTAGAAAACCATTCAGCATTTGTTCACGAGCAACATAAAGTCGAAATTTTATAGCAGTTTTCCCAAAAACTTTGACTATCCTATAGTCTCTTCCTGAAACCTCACAAAATATCTCATTGTATTCGTCAAAATCATCTTCGCTGGAAGAAGAGCTAGATTCCAAAATTCGTTTCGTTACTGCTTGTCTTTTGGTTTTATTCATTTTTTTTTTGTTAATTTTTATTTTTTTCGCCATTTTAAGCCCCTTCTTCTGGACTTTCTTTGACGGGAGGATTTTCCTTTCTTACACCTCGTTGCCATTTTTCTAGGAGCAGCTTTTGGAAAGGGACGAATTTTTTCAGGTGTTATAAGTTTTGAAGCTCCAGGACAAGGTTCATTTTGGTTTAACTTCAGTGTTTGTTTAAAGGCCTGGTGTAACGGGATGACAAGTATTTCTTCGGTTTGGGGTTGGGAATTGCCTTTGTTCGGGGTTTGGTCTGTCTGTCACATACGATAATAGAAAAGCCTCTTCAGGAAAAATGTCAGGCTAAATGGATTCATGCCGGTGGCCCTGAATCCACTGCAAATATTTTTAGGAGTAAAAGACTGTAGCGAAGCTTCTGCTATTGTTCTTCTTAGGTACTGCAGGTTATATTATTTTGCCAAAGATAGGGGAAAATGAGGAGTAAATTATTCGACAAACTGTAATAAATTTATATTTTTTGACAACAACCTAGGTATAACGTCAAACAAAGGTAAAAATAAAATTAAACTATAACAACCATTGTTGCATTTGTCGGACTTCTCTTTTTACTATTGTGATTTTCCAACAGCTATGACACCACCGACTTCATATGTCGTAATATTTTCACCAGGATGATTCACCATCCACCTGTCACAAGCAACATTATAAAACTTCTTAAATGGACCGAAAACTGCAACGTCTAGAGGCTGCAGCTTGTGGCTACAGTGTGGGGGCAAAGTTAGTAGAAATATGCCATTTTCTTTTGCGAAATTGTGTGAAGCAATACTCAAATGGCTTTTGTGGTTATCAAGTAGGATCAACTTCGGGTGTTCTTTGGACGGTCTTTCATGTTGAGCAAAGTGCTGTAAAACATGTAGAAATAAAGTGCTGTTGTAACAGGTGGAGTTCCGTGCAACATGTTATCCTCAAAATGGTCACGAGGGAATATAAAGAACGGCGGTACGTAGCGCCAATAATACCCACAACTGTAACCAATGTCCCTTGTTCAGCAGAAGTTATTTGGCCCACGCCTTTCTGGCCTGTTGTGGCTAGTGTTTCATCCAAGTTATAGATGTCTTCGCTTTGGAAGTTAAATTTTGTTTTTACCTCTAGATTCAAGCTTCAACATTTGTTTTGTCGAAGCTTGTTGATCTACTCATGCTGGTCTGTTCTGGGGTTCTTAATGAAAGTTTGTGTCTATATTAATCTGCAAGAGATTGAATCTTAATGTCAATCCCATCAAAGCAACCCAAAACTCGTGGAAATTGGGCAATCCTGTGAAACTTTTCTTGAGTGTGAAGAATTCGGTTATTACTGGGCATTCGTACATATTATATTGGTCTTAAATTTGCAATTAGGGCCAACTACATGAACTTCCAACTACTTGGAAGAAATTATTTCCAGATCCCAAGTTTCCATTTGTGATCGTAGACTTGCAATCAAAGGATCTAAAAGATTTTTCTAAAGATATTGAAGACAACTCGCCCTATATAAAAATAAAAATACAGGCATTTGAAACCTTTGAGACAATCCTTGAAACTGTACTTTGGTTCATTCCCATAAAGTCACCTACACTTATCTGGTGACAGTTGGAGGCCGAAAATCGTAAGGCTGTTAATAGTTGATTCATGGGGGAAACATGATCATTCCTGAAAATAAAAAACTTACTTGGGAATATTACCCAAAATCTAAATTAAACTCACAAGTCATCATCGAATTCCAACACATCACGGATTTGGTGTAGCTAATAGTTCCACAACTGTAGGTTTTTTGAGCCTGAAACGTTTGAAAAAACTTAGAACGTCTATCGAAATGTAGTAATGTCCTTGGATTTATCTTTCGTGGAAATCCATTATCAATTATATAAACAATGTATGTAATGTCTAAATCGTTCCCTTCCCAAAAAAGTAAAACTCCAACCTCAACTTCATCATAATATATAGTACTCAGCAGCAAATAAGTAGATATTTTATAATAGTTAACTGTGCAACAACGTTTTTTTTTTTAAACGAAATATTTCATAAATACCCCAACCTAACCTCAAAATAATTTAATCGTCAATTTGATATTAAAACCGCAAAATTGACAAATTAAATTGAATCATAATTGTCCGCCCATTATCCGCTGGTGCCTACCAAATTCACTCTTCAACCATGACAATCGACCTTACACTGCGTTGGTGCATACGGGCATGAGAGTTTGTTTGTGCGCTGACATCCACGCGAGTTTGGTCGTAAGTTGTTCAAGGTTAGATAATATTTTGACCACATCATTTTTGACCTTGGATTGGTGTATGGCTTTGAGACAGTATGCGGCCTTCAGTTAAATATGCTCTTCACACAAGGCCTTACAGGTTAATATATTTTACAAAAAAAATTCCAACAAAGAGATCCGTACCTTTTGTAGACAAATTTGGTCTTACCCTTGTAAATCATGTGTTCCTCTATTTAACGAGGAAAATTTAAAACCACATCCACGTCATGTGGTAAGTAAAATCTTGTACCTGCAATAATGTGACGGCACAGCAGGTAAATTCTCGAGATAGGTTTTAACTGAATTAATCAAGTCGCTTGTGGCTTTATTTGGTGGTACGTGCTTACCCCTGAAGTCCTCTTGTGCAGATCCATAAGATGCATGAGTGAGAGTATAGTGCAGACATTTTTGAGTTATGTCTAGTGTGCTCAAAATAAATCTTAAACAAACTTGACGCTCACCTTCCCCCTCATTAATAAAGTAAGTAGAAGTAGCACTTCTGCGACTCAAATCCTTGGTTCTTTTCCGCTTTCCATCCGTTTTTTCTTGGAACTATCTTCACTCTCGGACTCTGACTCGGATGTTCCTTGCCAAGAACTTTCACTACTAGGAAAAGGTTCCTCGTTCTCAGATAAAAAGTCAACAGTATTCTTGTATATTTCTGTTCGTCTTGATCTGACTTCTCTTGTAGAAGATCTGATTTATAAGACGCTGTCAGCAGTTATATGTGCATGTAATGGCTTTGTTGGTGCAGCTATTCTGGATAAAAGGGGGCCTGCTTGTAAAAAGCAGGGTATCTTTTCTTCGTTAGTGCTTGGTGATGAAACTTCATCTCGTACGTTTTCGAGAAGTGTGTTGTGACTAGTTTCCCGATCCATTAAATTTTCCTGAGATAGATTTTGGTCAGCTACAATAACTTGTGTATGTAATGAATTTGCAGGTCCAGCTGTACTGGATAAAAGGAGACCTGCTTGTGAAGAGCAGAGTAGTAGTATTTTCACCGCTTTCCAGATACATCAAAGGCTCCTCAGATACATTTTCGCCATAATGTATGGCTTCATCTTGAAGTTCCTAATTATTTTCACAAACCGGTATAACATCACTTTCTGCTGTGGAAGCCAAACCATTGTCTTGAATATTTTGACTCTGTGCCTCTTCTGAAGCCATAAATTGGTAGCAGTAACTTCGGAAAAACGATCTTCGATTTGACGCTATTCTGTTGAGAGTTGAGTTGAGAGAAGCTTAATGTTCATAATTGATAAAACAAAAAAGTGAGAAAATAGTATATTAGAATACAAGTTGCAATAGGCCACATATTCTCGCACGAATTCGAAATTTGGGTTAGTTTGGGCTAATTCGAACATTCTTCGGATTCTACTGTATTGGCAATTCCAACTATTGACCCCGACATCTGGCGGCAGAATCTCGAACTAGTCTATTTGGGGTTCCGTATGTAAACAAACATGGTTTTTGCATGGTGAAAACTGTGGTTTGTACAGATTTGAAGGTGTTTAGAAGTTAAACTAAAAGTAAACAGTATTGCAGTGTTTACGGATGTAAATCTACATATAAACTGGGAGAAAACATCAGCTTACATTATTTTCCAAATTTTTCTGCAGATGCTTTTTTCTTATTAGGTAAGTTAGGTTTGTATTTTAATTGCCCAGTATTAGATTAACACTTTTATAATTTGGTACTTATTTAACCTATATTATTTTTATTTATTATTATGTAAATTATTTCATGACATCAACATTTCCTACCTAATTTAAGTAAACATAATTAGTGTAATAAATTGTTTGTTACAGGCTTGCCTTCAAAGAGTCCTGAAAAAAAGTGCGGTTCCCTCGCAAAATCTACCCACTGTCAAACAGAGAGGATTTGCGTCTGAAGGACAAGGAAAATTTCTTCTAAAAAAAAAGACTTGAGCGAAAAGAACGTAGAGCAGAAAGCCTCAGTAAAAGCAACAATTACAAGTGCTCATCAGGATGCTGTAGATGCTGTAGATGCTCTGATGCAACTATATTCTACTGAGGCACCCAGGGAGGGGCCTGTGCTACTTGAAGATACACAGCCTGCGGCTATTCCTGTAAATATTCCCTCACCAACCTTGTGGAGTGCTGATGTGGGGACACAAATTACTAGTGGTGACATTGTTCTGCCTTTTGTTACTATGATAGATACAAAAAAAAAAACACCAACAGGATTGTCATCGTATCATTTGAATGTACTGTGCAGTGAAATGTCGAAAGTATTCATTGATCGAAGAATTCAGACTCAAAATTAGAGAGAGAGAGAGTGATTTTGACTTTGATTAAGTTGAAACAGAATTTTTCTTTTTCTGCTTTAAGTGTTTTGTTTGAGACAGTAACGGTGCAGACATGTAAAAGAGCATTTGTTGAAACCTTGAATCCAGAATAATGAAATCAACGATTCCCTGACCATTCAAACACGAAATCATGCAGCAAATGCCAAAATGTTTTGAAAAATTCAAAGTCACACGTACAGTTCTTGACTGTACAGAGATAAGTGTCCAGAAACCCAAATGTTTGGTGTATAGATTGAAACTTTATTCCCATTACAAATCCGGACTTACTTTAAAATTTATGACTGGTGTGTCACCAGCTGGTTTAATCTCTTATCTAAGCCCTGCTTATGGTGGAAAAGCATCAGACAAGGCAATTTTTGTACAAAGTGGATTAATTGACAATTACACATTGAGCGTTCAAACCAACGAATTAAAGATTTCAAGATTTTCAGCAGTCGCTATGAATGGTTTCTTTTAAATGTTGTTGATGATGCTTTTACGGTTGTGTGTGGAATAACAA